AACTGCATCTTTTTGTTTTTTCTTTCTCATCATCTTTTAACGAAATAAGCCATAAAATAATATAATTCTGAAATTAATGTTCAAAGCACACTGGTTTTGTAATAACAAAAACAATTAATCTCCTCATCAAATAAAGAACTTAAAATTGCAAAAAGTGTAAAAAAATAAAGGAAAAAATGACGAAATCAATTTGATGAATGACAAAGATTTCTTTTCAGTTAAAAAGAAATAATCCTGGAGTGTATGTTGCCGACTCTTTAAAAAACTTGATTTATATGAAAAGTTTACGTCGACTTTGACATTTAAGTCGTTGAATGTCAAAGTCGACGAGGCACAGAAACAAGTTGACTTTTTGAGTGATGGCAATGAAAAAGGTATACCAAAACTCACTTAAAAGCTTTGGTATATCTTTATCTTTATCTTTATATATCAAATACAAATAAACTTGATTAAGAAAAAAGACCATATAAAAACTCAATTGAATCTATGTAGTTACTCATGTCGATTCTGACGATTGTTTTCATTAAACAGCTGCTCTGCAAGTGCCTTTGCAAGTTGAGTCTTGCCAACACTACTTGGCACGATGGACAAACTGATCCAGTCGGTCACTTGTCTGAGTAAAGATCATTTCTACTTCTCAGAACAGCCTCAAAAACTGCAGTCACAGTCTCCTTCTGCTAAAAAACTTTCTTGTGCAGCTCATCTCAAAGTTTTGGGTGTCTTGTCTTTTCGCTTCGTGCCATTCTGCTTACTGGGACATCTGTCTGTAACTCATTACATCTTCAATTAGTTGTGGAATTACTTGCAAAGACAGCATCGTGTATCTTTTGTCTTGTTCTTCAATTTTGCGACAACTGTCTAACCAAAAACGGTGAATTGTAGAATTGAAGGATTAGAAAGGCTTGAGATAAACTGAACAACAAACAGCTTAAAGTCAATTAAGTAAGTGTTGAATCTAAGAAGGCTACGACCACTTTAAAATGAAGTAAAATACGAATAGGATAAGGATTAATTAATTATTTCATTTTTATAGTTTTTTAACTAAAATTGAGTTTAAAAACAAGAGTCTCGTAATTATTAATATATTGTATTTTTATCATATTTTAATAGTTTAATTATGACTAGATGCCATGAGTTTACAATGGACTCTAATTTAGAGTCTAAGTTGGAGTCTATGGGTAGACTCTAATAATGCCACAAAGAAAAGCTTTTTGCAAACATTTTTATTTAGTGATGGATCTTTCCAATGACAAAAAACATTAGTGATGTTCTATTTATAATAAAAAACCAGGGTTTCTATACAAAATCGATACAAATTGATAACTTCAATTAAAGTTTTTGTTCAAAACTTAAAAAACAAATAAAGTACTGAGAGTGGAAGAAGAGAAAGCTTGCAGCGTTTGAATAGAAAGAGTCTTTAAAAATGGATAAGACATAACAACCAGTCAGAGATGGTGATGTGAAAAACGCAGCATTTAAAGAAGCCGATTAAAAAAGCTGGAAAAGGCTGAACAACAAACAGCTTAGAGTTGATCAGTTAAGTGCAGAAATTGCAAAGACTTAGAACACTTTCATCAGGTTAAGGAGTACAAAGCGGAAAATGCTAAATTATAAATCATTTAAATTTGTATTTTGTTTACAAAGCATGTTTTTGAATAACCCTCAAAAAGTTTTTTGGTTGTATTTTTGTTTCAATTTGGAATTGAACCAACAAGTAATACCCCCTTTTTGATGTTTTTCTAACTTGTCATTGCATCTTTTAATTATAAATTAATGTTATTGTTTTTATGTTTGACGTTTTAATATTAAATAGTGCCATTTTTTTGATAATTGTTTGATAATTTATTAATAATTATATATTGGTTTTTTATTTCAGATCTTTTTATTGTTTTTGTTATATAGTTTCTTTTGGTAATATTATAATAGTTATGATATAGTTATTCGTTTTACTAAATATTATTTTGATATAGTTGTTTAATAATATTTATCAAGTTGTTTTATTGTCTATTAAAATTGTGTGGTAATGTTTGTCTGAGTTTCGTTGTTGATTCGTTGTCTATGATGTTTTAGAATAATTTCCCTTTTTGTTATGTATATTATCCTGATTTTTCAATAAAATAAATGAGTCGGCAATTATTATTATCTTTCATTGAATGTTTTTGAAGAATTGTGTTTGAGGCGGTTTATGTTTTATGGTATAGTTTTTGTTTTTTGTGTGTTGTTTCTTGGGTTTATTAAAAAATTGGTAAAAATTGGAAATACGTACCAATCGTTTATCGCATTGCAAGTGTAAAAAGCTAATTTAATCGTCAACCGCCGTTTATTTTTAATTTATAATCTCAATTTAGCTTTTTTTCTTGTGTTTTTTGCGGCTATTTGTGAATCCATTAATTGGCCTTGCCCTTTGTTGATAGCCTTTAAGGCGTAATATTTGTTAACTTTATGCTAATAATCAGTTTAAAAGATGGTAAAAGTATAGACCAAATATTTGATTTTTATGAGTAAAGTGGTAAAAGCTTTGTGATGTTTTTAATTCAAAAAAACGTTCATTATTGTGGTAAATATAAATAAAAAAGTTTTAAAAAATACGAAAAAACGGGTAATAATCAAATAAATTACATATAAACATTTTTGTTCAGCGGCATGTTATAGTAAAAAACCTAAAAACGCCTGACTGTGCTTCAGAGGTACCGCTCTTTGGTGGTTTTACTGTATTTGTAATTAAAAACCATTACACATTTACTATAAAATAATGTTAAATATTTTATTTGCTCTTTTTAACGTTATATTTGATAAATTACAATACAAACTGAAAGCATACATTTTTAAAATAATAAACTTTAAAACAATCTCAAACTAAGTAAGTTATACATAAAATGGTATTATTCATAATTTATGACAATTTTAATGTCGATATTTAAGACATAATAATATATAGCTAATAGCCAAACAAACAATACAAACAATCGAGAGACTCTATTGTACGAGAATTAATATCATAATACTGATTTGGAAAAAAAATAAATTAGTTTTAAAATGTTATAACCGATGTTAATGTTTATCATGAAGACACCAGTGCTGTTTTGAATTATATTAAAGATTATTTTCAATTCAAATAATGAACATAAGCAAAATGTCCAAAAATAGACATAAATAGTATATAAGCATTAATTCACTAATTCCATTTTTTGTTATTTAAATGGTAATAGAAAAACAAAATGGTAATTTAGAAATTTATTTTTGTCGGCACTTTAGCGCAAAAGGACTTAATTGACTACAAATGATACAACTAAGAAATTTTCACGTTAGAAGGTTTTAAAGATATAAACAAAATAAACAAAAAAGTAATTATTATTATCACCTTTAATGACGTTGTACGAAATTCAATTTATATAAAATTGATAAATCTTGAGTTATTTTAAATTTTTATCCATTTTTATAAATTTAAATTAAATGCATTACATTACACAATCCACAAAGCAAAATCATCTGATATTTAAATTAATATCTCTATAATAAAAGGTCAATTAATAAATAATGGCGTGACTTTAAGTGTAAAAATAAATATTTCTGAAGAATTTTTAGTTGTTCTGACATTTATTATGTTAATATAAAAATTTACAATTTGTAATTATCATAAATTATAAAATATTGTTAAAATGTTGAATTTTTTCATACTACTGATAGATAAAAAAATTAAGATTAATAACTGTTTTATTTAAAATTTTAATCTTTTAATGATATTAATGTGTAGTAATGTATTATTAAAATATAATATATTGTAAAGTTTTTTGTTTTATATTAACAATTTTATTATTTTTTATTGTAATTTCATTGTAAAATACTTTAAAAACAAAAAAAACAATTATTTATATGATTTTATCTCAAAAAATTTATAATAAACTTCAAAAACGTGTATTATTAATATTTTTAATTGTAATTAATAACATTTTTGTATTATTAAAATATAATTTTAATTATTATTTGTTAAATACAATTAAAATTTAAGAATTAATAAATAATTTGTTTAATTGTTTTTTATAGAATTTAATATTTTATTTTATTATAAATAATTAAAAAGAATAAAAATCAGTGAATTAAAAATACTGATTGAGACTTTGATGAAAAGTTTACTCTTTCAATAGCGTTTTTTGTTGGCATCATCTGTTTTTGAAATTGTGTTTTAAAGTCGAAATATCTTTCAACAAATATTGTTGTTGGAGAAACAGTCAATGTTATCTGAACAACTTGAATCAAATTATTAAGTTGATTGTTTTCAAGTATTTCGTACACATCCAAAAGACTTACTTTTTCTTTTCTTCCAACAAAAGTTTCCAAAGTTTCATCGTATGATGTACGAAGCAATTTTGATCCAGCGTTTTTTTGAATAATATCTCTTTCTATATCATCAAGACGGTCCAAACAAAATTTTAATATTTTAACTTCTTCAGAAACACATAAAAAATATCTGGGAATATATTGTTGATTGTATGATGGTATGTTCATTAAAACACTTGGAATATAAAACAACTCGAGTAAATCGTCCAAGTGATTTTGAATATCAAGACGTGGTTCTACACCTTCCTTTAATGAACAGTTTGAATAATCAAAGAATTGTTCAACACAATCAACTTCTCCAGAGCTTCCAATGTACATAAAACGAACTTCAAAATACAATGTTGCTCTTACAAGTGTAGTTCTTAAACAATCGACATCAATGATAGAATCAGAACGAACAAATGGAAATGAGGTGTATTTGTTATTGGAGTTGTTGTCAATTCTTTCAACCAATATATGCATCATTTTTTTTGAAATTACAAATGTGAGTCCAATATACTGGGAGAGTAGCATCTTCTGCTTGCAGAGAAACACACAAATCTTTTAATAAGTGAAGAATATCATGGTAAATATTCAGTCTGTTTTGCCACTTTTGAGAAGATATATTAAAATTCATGATGTCATCATCCTGAGCAATCTAGCATTATCATAAAAGAATTTATTCAATTCTCCACTTTTTCATTAATATATTCACTGACCGGTTTAATTTGTTTGCAGATGCCTTCAATATTGTCGGATATTGAGAGGAATCTTGTTTCTGCAACTGCTTTTAACTTTCCATAATCATCATACAACGCGCTATCCTCTTTGAATTTTTCTAAAGCCAAACGGTTGTTCTTTTGGCAGCAAAACTTAGTGAATAAAACAATTAATTCACCCTCTGCGCTTTTCATCATACTAACACCAACAAGTGCAGTTAAATGTGCAAAACACCAATTGGAGCTGTTAAACCAACTGACCAAATCTTTTGGTGCTGCTTTATAAGCTGTTAATATATCATTGAAAAATTGTATCGAATTTTGAACATTCAATGCACCATCCCAACAACTATTTACAATTCTTTCAAATGGAAAATTTGAAATGAGTAGATTCGATTCCGAAAAGAGCCAATCTGCAATTTCTTGAGCAGAAGAACCACCACATTTTATTTGTGTTACCAAAGGAAAGGTTTTGAATGTTCTTCCTTTACACATTCTTACTAATATCACATATTTTTCTTCATCATTTTTGCTCGAGCTATCACCCGATAAAGCCATACAGTCGCGGTCTATGATTTCACATAGAAATGCGGATTTTGCCAACACATTAAAATCTGTTGCTACTCTGAATGAATTACGGCTACTGATACCGAGATAATTGATTTTGTCTAACAGACTTGGATTGTAAACTTTAAGAAAGACAAATAAATCATCACTAACTGCATTAATTTGTGACTCGGATAACCTAGCTTCAATATTTATACAAGTGATCTCAAATGCTACAATTCTTTTTTGGAACAATTCAAATGATTCTTTTTCATACTTTGTACAATATTTCGAATGCAAGTAATAATCAAACAACACATCTATACATTCCGAAAAACGCTTTCTATTAAATCGATTTACACCGGGTGGGAAAGTAAACAATTTAATAGCCGATATTAATTTATACCAAGGCCAAGTAGTTGCTGGTAATAAACTTGTTTTTCTAAATAGTCCATCATCAAACTCGGCAGCAGAAAGATTTTGTGCCTTTTTATGTGTCTGTTTTTTGATAGTTGGGATTGGAACATCTTCTGGTTCATCAGGAACAACCGTAAACGCCGATGTTATAACAGTGGTTTCAGTTTCTAAATCTTCATCATTGTTGCAACTAAAACAATGTATATTATGGTCATTGATAACATTGTCAACACATACTTCTTTTTGGTCAGAATTTCTTTGAACTTGATTTAAAACCGATAATTGTGTAAATTCATTTTTTGCTGATTCTATCATAGCAATGTTTGTTCTTTTTCCTCTTATACTCATATAATTAAAAAACTTTGTTACAATATCCTTTTTTGAAAAAAAATGAAGTATAATCTAATAATGTTTTTGGATTTGCTTTATAATCACTTGTTAAATCTGATTTGAAAAACATTGAATAATTTTTCATTGCTTCTTCTTTTTCTTTTTCATTTATTAATTTCAATTGACTGTTTTCATTTTTCAACTTTGCATGATTTGCAAGTGATGTTTTTTTCATCCACGTTCCATCAAATAAACACATAACATAAGATTTATCATTAAATTCAACATGAATATATCTTTTCAAAAAGAGATTTTGATCGTAAACAAAAGAAAGTTTTGGAGGAACACTCATTTTGTATGTTTTTTAAAGTTTGCTCGTTAATATAAATATTCATGTTTTTTGTTAAAAATACCTTTTTATTTGTTAATATTTTGGAATAACATCAAGTTTGCTCAATGTTTTATCAAATATTATTTTTTATTTGTAACAATTTTATAAAATATAGCTAATTATATATAACATTTGTTAAAAATATTGTTAATTTATATGTTAATTTTTAAAAAATTTGTTTATTGCTAAATTTTAAACAAAATAATTGAATAATCCATTTTTAATTATCTAATCAAAAAAAAACAATCTCAGAAGGTAAGCTTGAAGTTCTTTAATAACTACAACTGCGTTGCTATTTTTTTAGGAATAACTACTATTAAGGTGGGTATAAAAACGAATAAAACCCCCCTGCCCATCTCCACGAATGAGCAAAGTTGGGAGGGATCAATGATCAAGGATTTAAACTAAAGTCCTATTTTTCCAAAAGTCCCTCCATTAAAAAGGTTTAATAACTTAAATAAATAAAATGAATATCTAAATATTTTGATTATGGGAATTTTGATTAATTATATTAATAATTATTATAATATAAATTAAAAAATATTGTATATTAATACACCTTATTAAATTATTACATCAATGAATAAATAAGTATAAATGACAATAATTTAAAATATAATTTTAATAATTAAGTAATTTAATATTATATATATAATTTAAGTGATTGGATGTGAACTAATATTTTTAGATACCAATTTCAAAAATATAGCATATTTAAAGCAGTTTGTATTTAGCAAAAGTTTAAATTAAATTACTTTTAATTTATGTTTTAAACAATGAAATGATATTAATATAGTTAAATTACTATAAAATGTCCCGAATCTATATTTGACGAGCCGACTGGTTTGGGGATAAGAAGAAAACAATAAATTGAGTAAGCAAGTGAAAAACTTGAAATTGTTAAAAAGTAGCAAAAAAATAAGAATAAAAAATAACGAAATCGAAGAGAAGTCGAAAAATTTGGCGAATGATAAAGACCTCCTTTCGGTTGAAAAGAAGAGACTCCAGAGTGAATGTGGCCAACTCTTTAGGGAGCTTAACTCGACAAGAAACAAGACAAATGCGACGGCTTTGAAGACGATATGTCTGGAATGAAGACTGTGTTGGAAGGTATTGACTGGCTGCTAAGACATACAAAAGTGCAAAGGACATGTATATGAAAAATTTGACTGTGAAGAAAAACAATCTTAAAGTCATGTGTTTCCTCTTCTATTTAGGAGATGCTTGTCATCAGGCATTTGCGGCAACACGTTAAAGACTTGTTGGTGAGCCCTTTGACTCATTAAATAGAACAACATTGTATTAGCTACTTCTAAACGTCTTCGTTAATTGTTTACCCCCATCGTGTAAATGAGGGAAAATTTATAAAAAATATGAATGACCTAATGAACGCTTGTCTGAGCCAAGACCACTTCTGCTTCTCAGAATAGCCTCGGAGACTGCAGTAACCGTTTAGGCCTGCCCAACAACTCTCTTGTGTAGCTCATTCCCAATTTTCACGAGTCACGTCTTTACGCTCTGTGTCACTTATTCTGCTTACTTGGATTTCTGTCCATTTGCTTACCATATTTACAATCAGCTGTGGGGTCGCTTACTACGACATCAATGTTTCTTTTGTCTGGTTATTCAATTTTGGGAGTCGCTTATCAGCTACTGGAAATCATAATACTTCAAGTCTGCGGCAGTATCAAGGTCTCTGTTTTCTGCTTCATTTCTTTCTCAAATGCTATCTTCTCTACGGTCAGTTGTGTGTCTTTTCTTATCAAGTTGTCGATCTCCTCTGGCTGCGAGTTCTTCTGTGTGAAGAGTGTTGCACACGCCTCATCAACCGAATCGATTGCCTTGTCTGGCAAGAACTTTGCTTTGTTGTTTTTCTTTGCCAGCGACGCAGCTGCCACAAGAGACGAGCCAGTAACCATCCGTCAATAGTTATTCTCATACTTCTCTCCGATGTCTCTCATAATGGCAGAGTATTACTGTTGTTCGTCTCAGCGACATAGATCTGCTGGAATCTCCTCTCGAAGGTAGCGTCTTTCTCAATATACTTTCTTCAAGTGTTGTCGCTTTAATGCACAGCAACTCCCCTCTTGAAAACATTGGCTTTATTATGTTTGCTGCATCCATTGCACTCTCTCCGGTTGCACCAACACTCAAGACAGTGTGAATTTCATCATTAAGCAGAATGATTGGGATCTTCGACTGTTATCACCTCCTTCAAAACAGCCTTTAGTTCCACTTCAGATTGTTTTCTGTACTGAGCACAAGTAATCACAACAATATGTGTACTTATACCAAGTGCACTATCTTCGCGCCGCGCATTCCAAGGAACATCTCCTTCGAACTTTCACTATCCGCGGCACCAAACTTTCCACGCAGCCGTCTTACCAACACAAGGCTCAAGAAACAAAACAATGAAACAAGAAGCTGACAAAGAAACCAAAGACTTAGAGCTAAAGTTATCGATTTAAAAGCTAACGCTATTAGTTGCTGCTATTCGATTTTCAATTGAGGGCTAAGTACTAAACAGAATTAGAAGTAATTAAAACTTAGAAGGAAGCAGAACAGAACAGCGCAACTAAATAACGAAACAAGCCAAATGGTTTACAAAAAGATTGCAGAGGCTGAGAGAAAGCTTGCAGAATTTGAATAGTTAAAAATTACATGCAAATTGAAAAGACACAAGTCTATTTGAAGAAGACATAACAATCTGCCGGAGAAGGTGAATTGAGAGTTGAAGGATTAGAATGGCTTGAGATGATGAAATCACACCCAGAGCTTAAACCTTTGAGAAGAACGTCCAAATGGCCGAACAAAAGAAGGTCAAGACGATGAAAGACTATAAGGCCGCTTCAGAAGAGTTGATGAGAACAAATACGGAACTTGACGAGAATCAAGACGAGTGGGACAAAGTTGAAGATTACATGTCTGAAATGAAAACTTAGTTGTAAACTCTCGAAAAAGTTATTAAAACGTTCAAACAGTCGAAGAACACTTATGAGAAGAAATTGACTGAGTTGAATGAGCAACTTGATTTTGAAAGAACTAATGTTAAACAGACTAAAACCCAGAAGAAGAAATACGCTGAGTAGCTTAGAGAAGTGATGGAGAAATAAAACGAATTTGGTGAATATAAGGAACAAGCTGAGAAATCTATCAACTCGTTGATTGCTCAAAAAGCTGATTTACAGAAGGAAGAGAAGGAGAGAGCAGTGAAACAACAAGTAAAGAGAAATTTAAAGACTTCAATTTAAAGTTATCGATTTGAAATCTAAATTGGCGGACGCTGGTGCGACTGGAGCTTTAATTGCTAAATCGAAAGCGAAATATGAAACAAAATTGGAAGGAATCGAAACAGAGAAGGAAGAAACACAAAACGCCGCTGCTTAAGGTTGAGAAGCAAACCTAACAATACACCAGAGAGGTTGAAGAGGCCGAGAGAAAACTTGTAAAATTCGAATAAAAGGAAGCTACTTTTGACGCTCAAATAGGTAAGACACAAGCCGATTTGGAGAAGACACAACAATCAGTCAGAGACGGTGAATTGAGAGTTGCAGATAATCTGGAGAATGTCCGAACAATAAACAGCTTTACGTTGATCAAGTAAGTGCTTAAAAAACTTTGAAATGAAGTGAAACACAAAAAACGAGGATTATTAATTTTTTTCATTATTATAGTTTTTTATATTAAAATCTGGTTTAAATACAAGAGCCTTGTTATTTATAAGATATTGTATTTTAATTATATTTTAATGGTTTTATTATGACTAGATGCCTCAAGTCTATTAAAGATAGACTCCAAGTTAGAGTCTAAGTTAGAGTCTATTAATAGACTCTAATAATTCCACAAAGAAAAGATTTTTGCAAACAATTTCATATTTAGCGATGGATCTTACCGATGACACGAAAAAAGGTGATGTTCTATTTTTAATAAAGAACCAGGGTTTTTATACAAAATTGAAACAAATCGATAACTTCAATTTTAAATTTTATAATCAGAACTTAAAAAACATATAGAGTAGCAAGAAGAGAGAAAAGAAAGCAGAGAAAGCGGAGAAAGCGGAGAAAAGAAGCGGCATTGTTTTGAGCGAGAAGGTAAGCGAGAATAATAATTAGCTTCGTTATAAATTATTCAAATTTGTATTTTGTTTACTAAGCATGTTTTCGAACAATCTATAAATGGATTCTTGGTTCATATTTTTGTTTCAATTCGAAATTGAACTAACAAGTAGTACCCCTTCTTTCTTGTTTTCCATCTTGTCATGCATCTTCTAATTATAAATTGATGTTATTGTTATTATGTTTGATGTATTACAATTAATTAGTGCCCGACTTTTAGTAATTATTTTATAATTAATTAATTATTAAATATTAGTTTTTAATTATGATCTTACAGTAGGAGAAATGAACTAGGATCATTAGAACAATTAGGGCAACTTTAGTAAAAAATGTGAAACGGTAAAAAAATACATTTTTGGGACAAAACCCTTTATAGGCAATAACATTATTTTAATAACAAAAATTCAAATAACACAATTCAAATAACTTTTTTTCAATAACATTATTCATTAAAGAAAATAACAATAACTAAATCCAAA